TTGATTTTTATCAAAAAGGGGCAAAAACACATTTTTATCCATCATTTACAACGGTAAGGGGTTAGCCTTGCATTTTATCAAAAAAGGGCAAAAACACATTTTATCCAAATCTTAAAACAGTAAGGGGTTAGCCTTGCATTTTTATCTAAAAGGGGCAAAAACACCTTTATTTATCCAAAATTTACAACAGTAAGGGGTTAGCCTTGTATATTTATCAAAAAGGGGCAAAAACACATTTTTATCCAAAATTTTAAACGGTAAGGGGTTAGTTAGCCTTGTATTTTTATCAGAAAGAGGCAAAAACACATTTTTATCCAAAAATTTAAAACGGTAAGGGGTAAGCCTTGTATTTTTATCAGAAAGAGGCAAAAACACATTTTTATCCATAATTTACAACAGTAAGGGGTTAGCCTTGCATTTTTACCAAATAGAGGCAAAAACACATTTTTATCCAAAATTTAAAACGGTAAGGGGTTACCCTTGCATTTTTATGAAAAAGGGGCAAAAACACGTTATTATCCAAAATTTAAAACGGTAAGGGGTTAGCCTGGCATTTTTATCAAAAAGGGGCAAAAACACATTTTTATCCAAAATTTGTATTTTTATCAAAAAGGGGCAAAAACACATTTTTATCCAAAATTAAGAAAGATAAGGGGTTTACCTTGCATTTTTATTAAAAAGGGGCAAAAAACACGTTATTATCCAAAATTTAAAACGGTAAGGGGTTAGCCTTGCATTTTTATCAAAATGGGGGAAAAACACATTTTTATCCAAAATTTACAACGGTAAGGGGTTAGCCTTGCATTTTTATCCAAAGGGGCAAACACACATTTTTATCCAAAATTTAAAACGGTAAGGGGTTAACCTTGCATTTTAATCAACAAGAGGCAAAAACACTTTTTATCCAAAATTTAAAACGGTATGGGGTTAACCTGGCATTTTTATGAAAAAGGGGCAAAAACACATTTTATCCAAAATTTAAAACGGTAAGGGGTTAGCCTTGCATTTTTATCAAAAAGGGGAGAAAACACATTTTTATCGAAAATTTAAAACGGTAAGGGGTTAGCCTTGCATTTTTATCAAAAAAAGGCAAAAACACATTTTTATCCTAAATTTAAAACGGTCAGGGGTTAACTGCATTTTTATGAAAAAAGAGGCAAAAACACATTTTTATCCAAAATTTACAACGGTAAGGGGTTAGCCTTGCATTTTTATCAAAAAGGGACAAAAACACATTTTTTATCCAAAATTTAAAACGGTAAGGGGTTAGCCTTGTATTTTTATCAAAAAGGGGCACAAACACATTTTTATCCAAAATTTAAAACGGTAAGGGGTTAGCCTGGCATTTTTATCAAAAAGGGGCAAAAACACATTTTTATCCAAAATTTGTATTTTTATCAAAAAGGGGCAAAAACACATTATCAAAAATTTAAAACGGTAAGGGGTAGCTTGTACATGTACATGTATTTTTATCAAAAAGAGGCAAAAACACATTTTTATCCAAAAATTTAAAACGGTAAGGGGTTAGCCTTGTATTTTTATCAGAAAGAGGCAAAAACACATTCGTATCCATAATTTACAACGGTAAGGGGATAGCCTTACATTTCTATCAAAAAATGAATAAGGGTAAAGCTTTGCATTTTGATCAAATGGGGGAAGTTAAGATTTTATCACAAAGTTGTAATGGTAAGGGGTTAGCCTTGCATTTGTATCAAGAAAAGGATGAAAACCAACTTTTTATCCAAATTCAAAACGGGCAAGAGTAAACTTTTATCACAAATTCAAAACAGTAAGGTGCCTTGCATTTTTATCGAAATGGGGGAAGTTACATTTTTATCACAAATTCAAATCGGTAAGGGGTTAGCCTTGCATTTTATCAAAATGGGAGAAAAGTTAATTTTTATCACAAATTCAAAATGGTAATGCGTTAATAGTCTTGCATTCTGATAAAATTGGACAAAAATTTAGTTCATTATAAAAAAATTGAAATGGTAAGACCTTGTTTTTTCTTTGTTAACCGAACTCCATCAACAGAACATCAAAGAAAGAGAAATACATTGTAAAGTAGTGGCTCAAAACACTATGCCAAAAGCCAAATCATCGCTTCAATGTGTGCTTTTGTGTGTGCTAAGAATGTTTTATCAAAACGTGACACAAGATAACTTTTATTAGAAAATCAAAGCGTTAACAGATTAGCCTTTCATTTCTATCAATAAGGGATGAAAAAAAACCCTAATTTTGATCCAAAATTTAAACAAAAGGTTACATATAGAAATGAAGAAGTGGCTCAAAACACTATGCCAAAAGTCAAATCATCGCTTCAATGTGTGCTTTTGTGTGTGGTCTAAATTTTTTTATCAAAACGGGTCAAAAGTTAACTTTTTATCACAAATTCAAAACAGTAAGGGGTTAGCCATGCATTTTTATAAAAACTGGTCAAAAGCAAATTTTTATCACAAAATCAAAAAGGCTAGGTGTTAGCTTTGCATTTTTATAAAAATGGAGGGAAATGTACTTTTTAACACAAATTATAACGGTAAGGGGTTAGCATTGCATTTTTATCAAAAAGGGGAAAAAACACATTTTATCCAAAATTTAAAACGGTAAGGGTTAACTGCATTTTTATGAAAAAAGAGGCAAAAACACATTTTTATCCAAAATTTACAACGGTAAGGGGTTAGCCTTGCATTTTTATCAAAAAGGGCAAAAACACATTTTTATCCAAAATTTAAAACGGTAAGGGGTTAGCCTTGTATTTTTATCAAAAGGGGCAAAAACACTTTTTATCCAAAATTTAAAACGGTATGGGGTTAACCTGGCATTTTTATGAAAAAGGGGCAAAAACACATTTTATCCAAAATTTAAAACGGTAAGGGGTTAGCCTTGCATTTTTATCAAAAAGGGGGAAAAAACACATTTTTATCGAAAATTTAAAACGGTAAGGGGTTAGCCTTGCATTTTTATCAAAAAGAGGCAAAAACACATTTTTATCCAAAATTTAAAACGGTCAGGGGTTACTGCATTTTTATGAAAAAAGAGGCAAAAACACATTTTTATCCAAAATTTACAACGGTAAGGGGTTAGCCTTGCATTTTTATCAAAAAGGGACAAAAACACATTTTTTATCCAAAATTTAAAACGGTAAGGGGTTAGCCTTGTATTTTTATCAAAAGGGGCACAAACACATTTTTTATCCAAAATTTAAAACGGTAAGGGGTTAGCCTGGCATTTTTATCAAAAAGGGGCAAAAACACATTTTTATCCAAAATTTGTATTTTTATCAAAAAGGGGCAAAAACACATTATCAAAAATTTAAAACGGTAAGGGGTTAGCCTTGTACATGTACATGTATTTTTATCAAAAAGAGGCAAAAAAACATTTTTATCCAAAAATTTAAAACGGTAAGGGGTTAGCCTTGTATTTTTATCAGAAAGAGGCAAAAAACACATTCGTATCCATAATTTACAACGGTAAGGGGATAGCCTTACATTTCTATCAAAAACATGAATAAGGGTAAAGCTTTGCATTTTGATCAAATGGGGGAAGTTAAGATTTTATCACAAAGTTGTAATGGTAAGGGGTTAGCCTTGCATTTGTATCAAAAAAAGGATGAAAACCAACTTTTTTATCCAAATTCAAAACGGGCAAGAGTAAACTTTTATCACAAATTCAAAACAGTAAGGTGCCTTGCATTTTTATCGAAATGGGGGAAGTTACATTTTTATCAAAATTCAAATCGGTAAGGGGTTAGCCTTGCATTTTATCAAAATGGGAGAAAAGTTAATTTTTATCACAAATTCAAAATGGTAATGCGTTAATAGTCTTGCATTCTGATTAAAATTGGACAAAAATTTAGTTCATTATAAAAAAATTGAAATGGTAAGACCTTGTTTTTTCTTTGTTAAACCGAACTCCATCAACAGAACATCAAAGAAAGAGAAATACATTGTAAAGTAGTGGCTCAAAACACTATGCCAAAAGCCAAATCATCGCTTCAATGTGTGCTTTTGTGTGTGGGCTAAGAATGTTTTATCAAAACGTGACACAAGATAACTTTTATTAGAAAATCAAAGCGTTAACAGATTAGCCTTTCATTTCTATCAATAAGGGATGGAAAAAAACCCTAATTTTGATCCAAAATTTAAACAAAAGGTTACATATGAAGAAGTGGCTCAAAACACTATGCCAAAAGTCAAATCATCGCTTCAATGTGTGCTTTTGTGTGTGGTCTAAATTTTTTTATCAAAACGGGTCAAAAGTTAACTTTTTATCACAAATTCAAAACAGTAAGGAGTTAGCCATGCATTTTTATAAAAACTGGTCAAAAGCAAATTTTTATCACAAAATCAAAAAGGCTAGGTGTTAGCTTTGCATTTTTATAAAAATGGAGGGAAATGTACTTTTTAACACAAATTATAACGGTAAGGGGTTAGCATTGCATTTTTTTTCAAAACGGGGTAAGCGTTAACTTTTGATCACAAAATCAAAACGGAAATGGGTTAGTTAGTGCAAGTTAGCCTTGCATTTTTATCAAAAACGGGGCAAAAAAAACTTTTTATCCTTGCATTTTTATCAAAATGGGGGAAAGCTAAGTTTTTATCACATATTCAAAACGGTAAGGGCTTATGAAGGGGTTAGCCTTGCATTTTTATCAAAATGGGGGAAAATTAAGTTTTATCACAAATTCAAAACGGTAAGGGGTTAGCCTTGCATTTTTATCAAAATGGGGGAAAGTTAACTTTTTATCACAAATTCATAACGGTAAGGGCTAATGAAGGGGTTAGCCTTGCATTTTTATCAAAATGGGGGAAAATTAAGTTTTTATCACAAATTCAAAACGGTAAGGGGTTAGCCTTGCATTTTTATCAAAATGGGAGAAAGTTAAGTTTTTATCACAAATTCAAAACGGCAAGGGGTTAGCCTTGCATTTTTATCAAAATGGGGGAAAGTTACGTTTTTATCACAAAATCAAAACGGTAAGGGGTTAGCCTTGCATTTTTTTTCAAAACAGGGCAAAAATTTTTTTATCACAAATTCAAAGCGGTAGTGGATTAGCCTTTCATTTTTATCAAAAAGGGACAAAAAGAATTATTTATCACATATTCGAACCGGTTCGTGGTTAGCCTTGAATTTTTATCATAAACTGGTCAAAAGTTAACTTTTCATCAGATATTCAAAACTGTAAAGGATTAGCCTCGCATTTTTATCAAAAAGGGGCAAAAACAAACTTAGTTTTTATGGTAGTTTTTATCAAAAAATAGCACGAACGTAAATTTTCATCAAAATTTCAATACGGTAAGGGTTAGCCTTGCATTTTTATAAAAATGGGGAAAGTTAAGTTTTTATCACAAATTCAATACGATAAGGGCTTACCATTTACTTTTTATCAAAACACGTTCAACTTATGCCTGTGCAAATCCGAAGGTAAAAGTGGCGAACAAGACATTGTTTAGACTTACCACTTAGACGACTTGCATGATGTCAGACTTCTTGGGTGTATTGTTTCAAAATGAATGTGTAAATTGCAAGTTTGCATCGACAGGTCTCGCATATGACCAAGAAAAATTACCGCAAATAAATGTTTAACTGGAAAATACAAGACTACCTAGTCGAGCCTTAAGCCAAACTGTTTACAAAATCAGTCACAAGTCATCACAAGTTAACTAAGAGTCATTCAGTCTCAAATCTATTCAACGTGACTGATCTGGTTACATCTCTGCCCAAAACAGCCAAGTCCAGTTCTGCCCTCTGCAAATCTTGGGTGTCGGCAAGCTCACCTTGGCCCCCTCTCCAAGTCTCTTGTCCAGTTTTTCACACTCCTTGTTGACAATGTGATCAACCTCATTCTCATCAATCTGAATGGAAAAAAAGTAACAAAAGTTTCATTTAAAACAACATTTTCTCTGTATCTCTGGTAACTGTGATTTTACAAAACTTGCCACAAATTTGTTTCCATGTGATACTTCAAATGCTTGGCACTGAAAGCTTAGTTCTTTATTTTTCTGCTCCTGTAGTATTGAATAGTTATCTTTGGTTCAAGTTAGGGCACATCTTAAAAGTTGAAATGTTCCAATTCCATAAGCTTCTTTTTGGAGCACTGTGTGTTCCCAATGTGTTCCCAACTGTGGCCTAATTACAGAAGTTATTTCTGCACCAGGCGATTTTGACTTTGACTCAACCATGTGTCCCGTCCGAAATTTCAAGTTAGAATGATTTGCTCTTCTTTTGACATTGACCTTCAATACTTTAAAACATAAATCAAATGGCCATTTGTGCTCGTTTTGTTTTGGCATGGTACAAAAACCTGGCTACACTTTTAAAACAATTTGGAACAGCGACTCAACTTCTAAGTGGCATTTGAAAGGACCATGGCACATCTTGATTTTAGACGTAAATCCACTCATGAGCTAGTATATAATATTTGAGCAGATTCGCTGATTAATTATGCAACACCTCTAGATTTGGACCAATCAGAGGGCACTTTCTATATCAGGCCTTCGGTCATTCACCAATTGTCGCATCATATACATGATTAAAAAAAAACCTCCAGACACAACATGGGATACGCTGTGAATTGAGCACACAAAGGCTGTGGTCAGGCACTCTGTGTTATGTTACGCGATACACCCCAAGCTTGTCTAGATTCTATAGATCTAGGCCCGGCCGTTGTTTTAGTATAAAACACTGCATCGGAATCAACCAATCACACTTGTACATGTTGTCAAGATTTCGGAATGAAATAACGTCCTGATTTAACGTTGACTCTGATTGACTAGCTCATGGCACTGCACACATTTGCATTCCTAGACGTTTGAATGGAGTTAGGGCTAGAACGGGTGATACTCAGACTACTCATGAGCTGAACCTAATGCAAACTGCTGCAAATCTACAGCAGGTTTGCCTGTCTGAGACATGAGGATAAAATCACGACTGTTGGATAAAAACTCAGTTTTGAGCCGCCATCTACACTTTTAGTGTAAAATTTGTTTGGACAAACATGGTCAGTGATTGGTAATTATCTGTTCAATGGTAATTTCACCTTAGTGAAATGAAAATCTAGTTGGGCTTACTGATTTTTGGGATGGCTTGACTCTTGTTCGCCAGTCGGAACTATGTGGATATAAATTGCCAAATAAACACAAGATGTGAGTAAACTTACTTGTTGAGTTCTCTGGGCATGTTTGCCCTTTCCAGCAACTGGCACAGCAATGGTTCCATGTTGCTAGACTCCAGCCCATCAAGCTTGACGTCGATACACAGCAGACTGTTCAAGATCTCCCTCCCTTCCAGAGCCTCAAACTCCGCCCCCTTCCCGAGCTCTCCCATGCCTAGAACAAAGAGTAGCCGCCGAAGAAGCGTAAGTAAGCACTGGAGTCATCATTGATGCATTGGACATCATGGATCGCCATCAGCGGGGCCGTTTTGGTGTCTAGTTGGGTGTCTTGGACGAAACGACTCAGGAGACGTTGGAGGATTTAGTGCGCCCTGCTGGGAGAGGCTTGCGACGGACTCATGAGAGAAAAGCTGGGGAGAACCAAGAAGGAACACTCGGTGTCAGGTGGCTTGGAACTCTGCATTTGGATTTCTAATAAAGCAGTTTAACCCATTCATAAAGACATAAATGATTTCAAGTGAATCGATCTGGAGCAAAACATTACCTAAACATGGGCACAACAAGCCAATGAAATTGAGTACAATCAAATCGTCTTTTACTGAATCAAATACGACTCTTCTGAAAAGCTATTTTAACAGGTTTTTAAAAATAATGTTAAAGGCGTATAGGATCATTTGCATTTAATCAGATCAGACTGGTTTTTAAACGTGTACATACCGGTACAAACATGTACATGTATACCGTACAAAATTTTCTTTTGCTGTAATTTTCATATATAGAAGGATTTGGGGAGTAAGTATTTAAAAGCAAGTATTTTAACACTGACCTATTTAAAGTTTTGTGTTCATAGATGCTGGGAAAACCAAGAAAAAAATGCTGTTCTTGTCTTGTAGTATGGTTTCCTCACCCTACTTCAGACAAAACAGAGCAATTTATAGGCGTCAGGGAATTGTACCGATAGGGTCAGGGAACCAGACTAGCTGGCTTAATTGCTCGCACTCACAGATGTGTAACCGATTGCAAACAAAATGTGTACTAACTATAATTGGCAAATTGGGGGCAGTATTGAAAACAGTCAGGTTTTTCCAATGATGGTCGGCCAACAATCATTGGAAATTGATACAAAAATTCCACTTTTCTGGAAAATGACAGCACACTAGGTGCCATGATTTCATAGGACACTTGAGACTATTATTCACTGAAATTTCATAATAATTTAGTAATTTTGTTTTTTGATGTTTGCAAATGTTGCATACCGCGGTATTAACTTTTACACCCCACAAAATAATTCCGTCTGTCTTGCTGTCATTTAGAAAACCGAGTAATGTAGGGGATTTCCAACGATCAGTCAATCGACTCATTTTTGAAGAAAGAGTTACAAACACACAAATTATGTTTCATGATCAAAAGGTTGAGCACTTTTTTTTTTTTTTTTTACTGTTTTCTAGGGGGGAAATGGTATCACTGAGCTGAAACTTCAATAGGTTAGGCATTCAACATTCTTCTTTTGATTTTGAATGGTCTTATTATTTGAAAACGAACAAAAGTCATGAATATCAAATGATCCTATATGCCTTTTAAAATAAAGATCTTCCCTTTTTTTACAATGACCTTTTTATTTTCTAAACGGACTTTCCTACAATGTAGGTGATATTATGCCCATTTGAAGTTTGTAAATTTAACAGAGATACAGCTTGTTAAATTTGTTGGTTATGCGTTCTTGAACTGCTACACAAATGGAATCACTTACTGTCTCGCATTCCCTTGATGATCAACAGGTCATCAGCTTGCCGTAAAGGACGTCAATGACTTCATCAACCCTCAGTCGCTGGACGATGACACGGTCCACCTCGGGGCTGGTCAGATCCTCACAATTCCTGTGAACATTGGCAGAAAAATCATCATCTATGGGAAAAATTACCAAGACAACAATTGTGCAAGAGAACTAGTTCCAAGCAAGATAAATCACATGGGAATGAAGCTGGTAACCGGCATCTGCTAAACAATGAACAAATTCTATTCTTTGCAGCGTTGTAACGAGACACTGAATGTTGTGACTTGAGTCGAGTCGAGTCATTTTAAGGAAGTGACTTGAGTCAAATCCAGTCGAGTGGAGTAACAGTGTGTGGTCGAATCGAGTCAAGTAGAATCTGTGCTCTAGTCAATTTAAAGCCGGCCTCAGGTCGACCTTGCGACTGACAAAGATCAGTTGACGACCGACTTTTCAGGATCAAGCTGTGCCTGAGCTATCACCGGCGGGAAGATTTCAGTCACCAATTTTTTGCGACCTGAGTGTAACTGCGACGATATTAACACGATAGGAATTAGTCGGGTCTAAAAAAAAATCAACAGTAGCAAGAGAAGAAAAATTTCAACTTCTATGATGACGTTGCGATCGTGTGCGCATCAAGATCATCCTTTCCAATTAGCCAATTAGCACACTACTCTGGCACTCCGCACGTTCTGCGCAACATCACGTAGTACGCAGCACACGTGCGTCAATCACCATATAAGGCGATTGTTTACCTACTCACGAGAGGATATTCCATACCATAGCTAGAGGGGTGTTTAGAAAAAAATTAAATAAAACTGTTCAACAAAATCATCGGAAATGTATAATTGTTTGACTTGTGCCGATTTTTTGACTCAAAGCTATTTGTGAATGGGAATACCACAAGTACATTTAAGACCGTATCAGGGGAATGCGCGCTGGTAATGGCTCGAGCCGAGCCAGCCAAACACATTTACTCCCTTATTGGTAAAGTCTGTCTATGACTGTCTATGCTGTGGAATCGTGGTGGATCGTCGCGTCAAGGTGACATGAGCAATTTTGAGCATGGTATACAAATATTGAGTGGCTCAGCGTGGAATGGGAGGAATATTATCGCAAGGTAAAATCTGGACTTTTCCATTTCACGAGGCGAAGCCGAGTGAACTGGAAAAGTCCAGATGTTACTGAGCGATAATATTCCTCCCATTTCACAATTTAAAGCCACTCAATATTTGTTTTATATAACTGACATATAGATCCTTGTCATTTGATATATTTGAACTTTTTTTGCAATAGAAAACTGAGGGAAAATGTATTTCTCTCTTCCAAATACCCCTTCACGAAAATGATTGAACCCAACGCTGTAGCGCTGGCTCTTTGGAACAATACGCGCTACGCGCAACGCTGAACGCGCACACCAGCATGCATTTGCACACAAATACCGCCTCATGATCCTAACTGTTGAATAGTATTTCCCATTCCCCATGGGCGGATAGTACTTTTTGAGCCGCGGCGTGAATGGGAGCAATAACGAATGTCACGTGATGTGAGTTCCACCAATCAAATGACTAGGATATATGTCAGTTATATAATTGCGATTATTTAATCGGGATGCCGCTTGTGCAAGAGAATCACACGATTTCTCAGTTTTGTGATCTGAGTATTATTTTTCTGCTTGATGCCGACGGTTCCGTCATGGCGCAAGCAAATCGCAGGTCGACCTGAGGCCGGCTTAAGTCAGTGATATTTGAACAACATCTAATAAATTACAGAATGGAAGAAAGAACACAAGGCACAAGTTTGTAATGAAAATCCAAAGACTTAAAAAACGCTGCATGGTACCCAATAGACAGTTTCTGCTGGACGTTTCTACCAAAGATCTGCGTACCAATTAACATGAAGTGAACTCCGGTTTCATCTCTGGTTTGGATTCAGGTCTGAAATATTTTTTACGCTGACAAATTGCAACATTTGAAACTGTTTCTGATTATATAGAAAATATCAAACAAAATTTGAAAACATAAATTTAGTTGGAGTTTCATCAAGGGCTTAGGAAATCGCCCGAAGCCGAAGATGAAACCAAGAATTGGGAAAACTCTGGTTTCGGGATAGTAATTTGTGCGCTACATTATAGTACACGAGTTGGGAGTCCGTGATAAGGCCAAAAGAAAAAAAGTAATTCTGCTTCCAATTACATGTCATTCGAAAATAGGGTAGGTACATGTGGGTAGGGACTTTTTTTTGCCAATATTTTTTGGTACGATCATATGGAGGAGTCTGCGTGTAGTCATGGGTTAAAGGCAGAGATTGATGGTTTTTGGTGTTTTTTGTCATTTTTCCCATAACAAGATTAGGGTAGGGGCTGTCAGAATAGGGTAGATAGGGGGTTTCCCTACAAAAAAAAATTCTGCTTCCGGTTGAAAGCAGAACTTTTTTTTTTTGGCCTGAGGCGTATACATGTATTTGTACGCGATAAACGGCAACAACTCGACGGTAATGTGAATATAAAACTTTGTAATGTTCGCACAGTGTTAGGACTCAAGTTTTATTAACCTTCGACTCAAGTAAAGTCGAGTCTACTGATGAGAGACTCGAGTCCAGTCGAGTCAATTACCCATTGGGACCTGAGTCGAGTCAATTACATTGTAAATCATTGACTTGAGTCATTACAACTCTGATTCATTGTTCAGCAAAGTTGTGTGCTTCACAGCAACATGAAATATGTTCTTATTGAAGGGTTTAGAGGTGAAATGCCCCAAGTATGACATCACCCCAACTACATTGTATTGTTGGGACCACTGCCATATTTTGGGCTATAGTTGGGACGACTGCCATATTTTGGGCTATACTTTGGACCACTGCCATATTTTGGGCTATAGTTGGGACCACTGCCATAATTTGTAGTTGGGACCACTGCCATAATTTGGGCTACAGTTGGGACCACTGCTATAATCTGGGCTACTGTTGGAACCACTGCCATATTTTGGGCTACAGTTGGGACCACTGCCATATTTTGGGCTATAGTTGGGACCACTGCCATAATTTGGGCTACAGTTGGGACCACTACCATAATCTGGGCTACAGTTGGGACCACTGCCATATTTTGGGCTACAATTGGGACCACTGCCATATTTTGGGCTATAGTTGGGACCACTGCCATATTTTGGGCTATAGTTGGGACCACTGCCATAATTTGGGCTATAGTTGGGACCACTGCCATATTTTGGGCTATAGTTGGGACCACTGCCATTATTTGGGCTATAGTTGGGACCACTGCCATATTTTGGGCTACATGTATAGTTGGGACCACTGCCATATTTTGGGCTATAGTTGGGACCACTGCCATATTTTGGGCTACAGTTGGGACCACTGCCATATTTTGGGCTATAGTTGGAACCTCTGCCATATTTTGGACTACAGTTGGGACCACTGCCATATTTTGGGTATAACAGGCTTACCGATGGTTTGATGGTGCTCAGTTTGTGGATTTTCGTCTTCGTTTTTGCCACCTTGCTCTACTTGTACAAGTTTGCGCTGCATCTGCAGGCACTTCAGCTTTTTCTCCAACTCGCTCATCTTACGGCCCAAGTCCACGCTGCATCATGACGGCCTTCAGCACCTCCACCAGGCTGAACTCCTCATGCAGGCCCAGGCTGCGGCCAGGGAACTGGCTTTGAAACCTAAAAAGAAAAATTAACATCTATTCAATTAATAAAGTGTCAATTTCATTTTCTTGAGCAACATTTTCAATTTCATAACGTTTATCCAAAAACTTATTACGTAGCTCCGCCAAGGAGGCTATGTTTGCACCGGCGTTAACCCTTACTCTCTGAGGGTAGTTTACTGCAAGTCAGTTGGTTATGCCAATGCCCTCCAGCTGCAGTTTATTGGCAGATAGTTTGTCTTAACAGTGAAGGCTCCAATTGGCAGGAGTTGGAGGCCCTGGAGGGTGCTGATACTGACCAGCTGGGGGCACTCACTTGTTATCAGAGGACTCTCATTGTTCTCTGTGGCATGTATTGGAGTGCCTGTCCAGTTACCCTTGAAATGACATGGCAGATATTGGAGGGCCATGCAAAAAAAATAGGAGATTTTCTTGAGGCACATATTGGCATGCGTTGGAGGGTCTAGTAGGGTAAGGGAATTGGTTTGTGATTTGGTGGTTTGTTGGTATGGACGGATTTTCATGAAAGTTTTTGCGGGAGTGGTCTTGGTAAAGTACAAATCGATTGGATTTTGGAAGTGATCCAGATAGTCTACATGTTCATCTGGATGCAGGATTTTTTTTACAGATTTTTTTCACCCATCAGCTGGAAAACTTTCAACAGATCACCCTGCGTGACCCTCTTCTTGTGCGTGGCACTGACCCGGTGACCCTGTATCCCTTATCACCCACCTAATCTAACCACACAGGTCAATGGACTAGACCATTTTATACAATGGGGGAGTGGAAAGGTAGACCGACACAGGCATACATACATGTACACAAAATGTTTGAGTTAAAGGATTTGTTTTGGGTCTGCATGTAGGATTTTTTTAAAGGATTTTCACCATAAATGCGAGTATTTCTTTCGGTGAACTGACAATAAGGCGGGGATTGTTTATCCTTGGTCATGTTGGTACATGTAGGTTTGCACACTCTGAGTGCTTTGCTTTAAATTGAATAAAAATACAAATAAGGAGATCCATTTTAGAGTGAGTACAAACAGAAGGAATAATTGATAAAATCACCATGTGAGTATACCGGTACATATGTCACAATATAACACAACAATGTTGCGACAAGAATTAAAAATTGGGATTTAAATCGGTGAATTAAATCAACGCGATTTAAATCAGACAACCCTAATAATAGGCATGTAAGGGGGTGTGATTCAAGTCAATTAACTATTCTAGCAGGCAGAGAATGAAACATATTTGGTACTCAATTGACAGAGAATTGACAAAGGAAACATAGGTGTGCGATATGTGTGTTCAATACGTAACAGTTTGACAAAGTTAAGTGAATCATTGTGTTAAGATTATGTGGTCCGCACTGGCGCAGCGCTGGCGGCACGCCCTTTGACTTCTGCCGGCCCACATTGCTACATGTACACCCACGTACATGTATCACCCCCTTTGTGATACACTGCGACACCAGTTTTGCCACTAAAAATATGAACCATGTATGTCGGATCAGAAAACCCCAAATTTTCCAGTGCATGGTGCCAGAAGGTGCTAATGAAGGTTGCATATTAAAATTCTGTATTTTTAAAGCAAAAAATCAAACAAACTACCTTGAATTTGGAGAGTTTTATTTCTTCGTATAAACTTTTTCTTCGACATAATTTACAAGTGTTGTGTTTGGTATTGCTGGAAAGAGCAAGATATTGTCTATAAATTGACCTAAAGTATAAAGGTTAGGAAATACCAAGAATGATGACGCTTAAGGTTGATAATATTCATGATGGCAACGGGCAACATCGGCGGCTAATTGTCATAATTGTTACATGTATGCTCATTTTGATTGTCACTGATTGTGTAATTCTAGTTTGTTTGCACTTTGCACACATTTGCATTATCGAAATGACGTCTGAAAAATGCCTAACTTCTTTCTATAGCTAGTATAAGAGGGTCTAAAGCATAAATAAACTACAAAGTCTAAATATGAAAATCAAAACTTGACAAAGTTCTATGTTCGGGTACATGTTCCAAGTGTGGCCTATATTTACGGAGGTAGTACAGCAAATTGGCCACATTTGTGGGGCTGGCTATCACGGATGGTGCCGAAAAAAAGTGCTTTTTGTCAGATTGTTAGCCCCATAAATGCAGCTGAAATACTGGACTAACTCTGCACTACATGCATGACATGTGGCCTGGGGGTGGAATGGATGGTCCCATTGCTACAAATTGTAGGGAAGCCGAAAATCAATTCAGAACAAAATTATTTGTCATTTAAAAATCACCCCACTTATCTGAGCTACAGAAGTGTGATCGCTTGCTTAACCCTCGTACTATTTAAGAGGTCACCAATGGTCAAATGTTTGTATCTCACCTCCTGGCATACTGTGTACAAACCAATGGGGGTCTTGACCAATATGAATAACCAGGCTGACAATGCATGTTTCCATAGGAATAGCAAAAACCGTTGAATTCCGTACCTTCAGAGGACTGACGAATTACGACGGTTTCCAAAAGAACTTACAGCAAGACGCCAGTCTTTGCTGTAAGTTCGGCCAGTGATCGGTCTTGATGTGTAACATAAGGAGATTCCTTTTCGTGAGAAACCGTCAAACAACAACCGACAGTTCTTTCGAGAATAAGGGAGCGCAAAGTAAACTCGCAGCCGCTGCACACGTGTGTCTGTCTAGGTTTCGTTCAATAGAAAGCGCGCCACATAAATAGTAGTCTCCACGTACAACGCGCATCATGACAAACTCGTTTTCGATCAACTACTCAATAAATACAACTATGTATTACATTGAAATTTCGCGCACTGAGTTTCCACGATGTGTTACATAAGGAGATTGAATATCATGTGAAAACATGAAACAACAAATATAATATGATCGCAACAATGTAGTGTTTTAAACGCGAAAAATCGACGTTGACTACATTCGGATTGTATTTGTAGCGCTCATAATAGCTCCATTGTTCGACGGTTTCTTATGAAATTAAATCTCGTAATGTTGAACATTATGACAAATAAGTGTACGAAAATTCAATGTAATACTGCTAATACATCATGTTTTTCTTGAGTTGTTGTCCCCCAAAATGAGTTTGGTGGTGGAGATCGAGACCACTATTTATGTGGTGCGAGACACGAGGGGTGCAGACCTGTAATTAAAGTGGCCCATCATTGCCTACGCGAGCCAAATCACAATTTGTGTACCCTCAAATATACTTTGCTATTAGAGCAATTATTGTGGGCCATGAACTTGAAAGTTTGTAGAACAGAAGAGCAGAAGCCGTGCACGTGACTGCACGCTTGTATTTCTGGATTTTTTTCTGCTATCAAATTCAAATCCGACTTTAATAATAACAATTAAAGGGAAAAGTCGAAAACTGTTGAAAAAAGGGGGAAAATGAAGACCAGGACAGGAATCGAACCACAAACCTCGATTCAGAAAAGAAAAAAGCTTTTCTGCTGTGAAATTCGAATCTCAATTAAACAATAGGGCCGCCTCACAGTTATAATAAGGGGGAACAATCGAAGAAGAAGAGTGTGCAAAAAAAAAGGAAAAAATGAGGACCAGGAGAGAACTCGAACCACGAACCTTAAGATGAGAACCCTACGCGTTTTGTCATAGTTTCTAACTTTGCGTGCATGACGTCATCATTATAAAATAATTGAAGTCTCCATAAAGTACACACAGGCACATGGAACTGAGATATTTTCTAACTTCATGCAATAATGAATTATTAATAAGTAAATTGATTCCTTTCAGGCCAAAGATCATGAAAACCTTCGAATAATGGCGCGGTATCGATTATTGGTACAGTATACCTTAAGCCTGAAGTGATGGACAAAGGATTGACTTCGCAACATCCATACCGCGATAAACAAGTCACAATAAAAAAGGCCGTTGCACACTTATTACTCTCCTGCGGGCCACAACGCGTTTATTCGCCCATGTGTGTAGCGACTGCGCGAGACGGTCAAGGAATTCGCGGAAACGCTTAAAAAGAAGCAACATTAATGTCCTTCAACTGACATGTGACACTTTATGCGAAGCAAGCAATGACTCCTCTTCATCTCTGTGTGGTGTGCCTAAGTGTGCCAAGATTTCTCCCCAATCCAACACCATCATTTCAGAGAATCAAGACTGTTTTCAACATCTAAAGGACCGCACTACGATATCTCGGGTAGCGGTCACTTGAACTGGCGGTGAATTGAACTAACTGAGAGATAAGTCCGTTGTTAATTAAACACTGCACACTAATCGCTGTTCTTTGTTTTCGCCACCCATCTTACGCCCGCCCACAATCAACGAGGTTTTAGTTGATGCTGGTAGTTACGAATGATAATTGTTGTGTTCGTACGTCAAAACACCCGATTAAGGAGAGACTGAGATTAGGGATACTTTTTGGTTGCTTCGTATTGTATTCACGTTCCATGTCATGCCATAACACACTAGAGTACACACATTCTGGAATTTGTATCCTTGTGGAGACATTTCTTGTTCTCGTGTAGTAAAGTTTCGAGTTTGAAATTGAAGTTTCAAAAGCTCTAATTTTAACCAGAATTAATTTCCTGGGCTGAAATTTGACTAAATATCCCTTTTCTAAAACTCTTCCATTTGCGACACATCAACCCACCTTGGAAATTACTAGTTTTTGAGTAAAATCCAATATCTATTTTCGTGAAATTCTTGTGGAGACGTATTCATCTATAGAAATGTTCTTGCGGAGACGTATACAATCTTTTGTTCCCTATTGTGTGCATGTCTCCTTAAGGTAGTAAATTCCAGCACACACGTACTAGAATGTACAGACGATTAACAAATGACGTCATACACTGGTTGCACACATGTATAAATAGATCACTGCAGTCTGCATACACTACATCCTCTCCCCCTTAATATGGAAGCTGTACACACACACACACAACAAATATCATTTCAACCTATGAAAATGTCCTCGACTGAAAATTCTGTCTATAAAAACAATGTCACACCTTACACAAAAAAATGCTAATCCTACAAACACTTGTTGCAAGAAAACCAAAGTTCAAAACAAAGAAAATCCTTTTTCCATAATTAAATCCAAGTCCCTAGACAAGGTACATTGTAGCAATGGCTTTTTTCTCTTCCTGCCCTTAATTTGAATAAACGGAACTTCCCTTAGGATTTCCTTCTTGTTTGCTTGCTTGTTTGTTAGTTTTTTGGGTTTTTTTTACACCCATGACATTCCAATACCGTACAATTTCAACTGCAACCTTTTTGTTTGTTTCAAAACTGCAACTCTAAAAACTTGTTTAAACAACTTGAGTAACAAGATAAACATTAACACAACTGTAACAACTCAAAGTGCAGTACACACATTTTAACTCTCATGCCGGCCTCTGCGAACAACAGTTAGGTTATTCCATAGTCTCAATGAGTCTGTCTGGGGTTTGCTGACCTTGACGAACGACGTAGGGGTTTGGGTGAAGCACTGGAATCTGCGGTTACGGTCGGTGTCGCCGATTGTGAAGTCTGCTCACCACTTGTGATGTTGAGGGTGGCGCGTGTGTACGTTCTGTCTGAGGAATTTGCGAGCCAACGACTGGAGCTGTCTCAGCGGTAGGGATAAACACCGGAATGGATGCTAGGTCAGACATATCAGTATTGGTGAGCTGAGGTGTGCATCCCATTCCTTGAGTTCTGAGAATGACTGGTTGTAGACCGTTTTGCTCTTCTCATCTGATCCAACGTCTTTTCCACACTCGACCATCCTGCAAAATTACCACATAAGACTTTGGGGCTGTGCGCTCTGCGACTGTGGCCAGCCACCAAGTCTCTTTGCAGCGGAAATCCTTAACCAACACATCCTCCCCCGCATAGAACTCGCGGAGTTGGGTCTGTTTGTCGTGGTGCAACTTTTGGTTGCTCTGCATGTTGACCACCTTGCGTTCAACGTCCGGGCGTAGCAAGGACAAACGAGTACGCAGTTCGCGTCCTAGGAACAAACTCGCAGGAGTACGACCGGTTGTTGCATGTGTCGTAGTGCGATATGTCAACAGGAAACTGTCGATACGTTGTTGCAAACTCCGAACACTCGATTTGCTTGAGCTGAGAGCGCGTTTTGAAGGATTGAACCATCGTTCTGCTGCACCATTACTTGCGGCGTGGTACGGTGCAACTCTTACGTGTTTTACGCCATTCACCTTGAGGAACCATTGGAACTCCTCACTTGTGAATTGCAGTCCATTGTCACTGACAAGTTGGTAGGGGATGCCATACCTGCTGAATAAGTCTTGCAGCACCGTGATGGTTGCATTCGCGGTGGTGGTGCTACTCATGTGGAAGATCTCTGGCCATTTTGTATGCGTCAATGACGATCAGGAAATCGTGACCATTTTTCTGCGCGAAATCGATGTGAATTCTGTGCCACGAAGAGCTATGCCACACCCATGGCATTAGGGGTGCCACAGCTGGAAGGTGTCTAGTCTGTTGACAGCTAGCACAGAGACGAACAGTCTGTTCGATGTCGCGATCGATGTTAGGCCACCAAACGTAGCTTCGTGCAATTTCTTTCATCCTGACAATTCCTGGATGCGCATCATGTAACTCACACCAGAATGAAACTTCTCGTACTTGTAGTGTATCACAACTCTTAATCCCCACAACAAACAGTCCTGTTCGTGGATAGTTCGTGTCTGCGATTGAAGAAAGGTTTGAGGCGTTCGTCCTTACTCTGCTGGCCATCCACTTTTAGTGAACTCTAACACGCGCGGAAAGCACAGGATCAGTTTCGTAGCCTGTGAGATCCCTACTGGTTACTACGGTAGGCTATCGAGGCGTTTGTCTCGATGTTGTAGATAGCGTCTTCATCGTCCTCCTCCATTGTGGGTAATGGGAGATGTAAGAGCGCATCCGCGAGCACATTCTGCGAAGATGGAATGAACTGCAAGTTGTAGTCAAATGCGGACAACATTACAGCCCATCGCTGAAGAAATGAAGACATTGTGCTGCAAGGGTTGGAATCGACGTCTTGGGACCAAGGATGCGCTCCAATGGCTTTTGATCAGTCCGTATGGTAAATTTCCTTCCGTAGAGATATGTGCGGAAGCGTTTGAGACCGAACATGATTGCCAGGGCCTCCTTGTCCAGTTGCGCGTAGCCCTTCTCATGTTTATGAGTGAGCGTGAAGCATATGCTATAGGATGTCTGGAGCCGTCAGCATACACATGCAGCATGACTGCTCCAAGTCCATATGGTGATGCGTCCGTTGCGAACTCGAGAGGGAGTGCTGGGTCGTAGTGAGCGAGAAGTTTGTCTGAACTGATGGCGTCCTTCACTGCCTCAAATGCCCTGGTACATTCATCCGTCCACTGCCAAGGACAATCCCCGAGCAGTTCGTTTAACGGA